TGGGATGGTAGAAAAGTACAACAGGACACTGGGACATGAATTGGCAAAGTTTTGTAATAGCCGCCAAGATGACTGGGATGTCTTGCTCCCTCCACTATTGATGGTCTATAGGACAGCAGAGCATGAAACTACTAGATACACTCCAGCAAAGTTGATGTTTGGTTGGGAACTTCGGTTGCCAGTGGATCTGTTAACAGGGCGCCCACCTTATGAAGAGTTGCCTGAAAATGTGTCAGAGTTTGTGAAAGTGTTATCAGAAAGGATGGATGATATTCACCATCAAGTGCGTTCAAACTTGAGAACGTCTGCTGATTCGATAAAGTTAACTTACGATAAGAAATCTACTAAAGTAAGCTTTGTACCTGGATACAAGGTATGGTTGTATAATCCCAGGAAGACCAAAGGGAAGTCTCCTAAGTTGTCTTCTCCATGAGAAGGCCCATATGACATAGTGGATCGTCTCTCAGACGTGACTTTCCGGATAAAATGTGGTATACTATGGTATACATAAAGTTCTATGGTATACTAAAGATGTAGTCTTGTACATTGTCACCATCTGGTGCAGTGATAGAAATGACACACGAAAAAAATGTTTTCAGGCTACACTTGTGCTAAATGTGATCTATCTGAGTGCAAGGATATTGTTCCAGCACTAGTTTGTGAGTTCGGACATTTGGCTATTAAACTTAAATTATCTTTGGCACAGTAACAGATGCTGAAGTGATGCAAAAAAGTCAAGTACTGCAGGATTTTACTAACAAATGGAACTACACACAGATATTTGAACTCAGTGAACTGTTCAAGGAACTTTCTGATGAGTTTGTGGGAAGTAATGGCTGATTGATTCATATGCACAACATAGATATGGGCAATGCACATCCAAAAATATTTACTATGCAAGCTTCTTGGAGCACATGAAATGTTGCTGACACAGAGACTGATTGGATGCTGAAGGATGGGTAACATAATTTATTAAGAGTGCTTAGACATCTACAGTGGAGATTATCAGAAAGAAGAAGAGAATGCCAAGGTTCTATGTGGACTTTAGACGAGTGAAATCAGCAACAGACATTAATGCATTGTCTTTAATGTATAGAGAAGAATTCCTGGACGCAAGAGCGTGACATTCTCATACACCATCATCCAGAGTTTCAAACAGAAAACTGGTGGTAAAACCATACCTATAACTAATGCCCTGATACAGGATACCATGTGAAAATGAAACCCTTCTAGCAACTGTAAGCCTACCATAAGAGGATTTTTCTATTTACTGGATGTCACAACTCACACAACAAAATATCTGTGAGACCCCAAACTAGTGTGAGTAATCCTTGCCATGCACCAAGGTGAAGCATAGCAAGTGTAGACTGATGAATGTAGCATGGACACACACAGCTAGCAGCACTTGTCTGAGCAGTTACAGGTGCATAAAGACATGTTATACCGTAGCTATAAACCATTAATGCATGGTTTTCAATCTATGATCTAGTAGCTAGTGGTCCCAAGGACTCTCGGTCAGGATATTTTTCAGTACTTGCATGATGCAAGTACTTGAAGACACCATAGTGTAAGCCACACACTTACTTGAAAGTGCAATGGCAACTATAATTACCATGTTCAAGTCGGGATGTTAGATGCTGGTGTCCGTATTTTACAATGTGTGCTACACAGAGGAAGAAATCAAGGTATACTCCAGCAAAAAAAATGTTGGTTCTCCATTCCAGAGAATAGCCTTGGATATTGTTGGGCCTCTCGCAGAAACTGAATAAGGTAATCTACATGTAATGGTCATTATCAATTACTTAACCAAGTGGGCCAAAGCTTATTCATTGGCTAATACTTTGTCACAGTTGATAGCTGATAGGCAGAGCAATAGGTAACCAAATTAGGCAGATCCAGAAAAAATTAACACTGACTGGAACTAAATTTAACAGGTACTGGTGATCCCTTTACTGGTGAAACCATGGTCATTAATAAATGAAACATACAATTGTCTGTGTTTTTCTTCTAAATTTTATTATCTGTGTAAAATCAAATTCAATTAATTGGAATCAGATTATTCTATTTTGTTTCACCTGAATTCTGAAGTGCCTATGAACCATAGGGAGCCATTATGCTGGGAATTAATTACCTGTTTAATGACTTTGAGAACCTACCTGAATGCTCATCAGTGCCTAAGATGCCTAAACCAGCTTGGCTTGTCTCACACAATAGCCCACGGATGAAAACATGTTGCTTGACAATGCATCAGACATGAAATATTCAAATAAGGCTGCCACTTGACTCACTATGAAATTGCCAGTTAGTACTCCAAGAGCATCTCCTATCACTAGATTGCCAAAAGGTATTCCTATTTCAGGATTGCAGCATGTATAGCCCAGCAACATCCACTATGCCTCAACCTTTGTATTTACCCCCATATTTCTTGCCCAAGAAGGACTTTTTCTCAGTGACAAAGATCTTCAAACACTGGAGAAATCTTTTCTACTTCATCAATCAGCAGGAAATTGATAGTGGTCCATCTCACTTTCACCACGATGGC